TATTAATATATCTAGACGTTTTCTACCACCCTACTTTCAATTTCTATTTGTTCTACTTTTATTATGCTTCTTTTTTCTCCTTTCTTGCTTTCTTTTCAATAAGTTATGGTGAGTTTTTGTTTGTTTGTTTCCATTTTCCATCTTTGTCTCTTCTAGTTTAGAAGTTATTTAAATTTTTATTATCTGAAAGTTGACTATGACAACTTAGAAAAAGTTTTACCCAAGATTTCCTATCTCAATAAAAAACCTGCTATACTGAATTTACATTCCTGTGCTAGCAAAGACATTTAAATTTCCTAAAAGCCCAGGTGAGAAGATGTAGACTTCACTGCAGTCATATCTTAGCTGTTTTCTAACAAGCTCACGTCTTGTGCTCCCATTATTTAAATAGGCGTGGATTATCACCATTATTGTATTTTTCACATTATTAAAATGAAAAAGCTTCTTAGAGAGCAGAAAATTTCTTGGAGAAAGTAAATGAACATAAAAGATTCAGACATTCATGAACACCAGACATTTACCATTGTACTCATTCCTTTACCGGCTGACTCTTTCCTACCAGCCCTCACCAAATGAAAGCACACCAACCTTCCCACCAAAAGAAGATCCAAACTCCCCTTATTCATCTTCAGGTGATCTTCATTTCTCTTTTAGTCACATTCACCTTTTGATATCCTATAATTGAAATATTGAGATATAAGGTTAATTCTGTTAACACATAATCATACAATGAAACATATAGCAGTGAAAATGAAGTATGACATGCAACAATATTGTTATATCTTACAGACAATGTTAAGTAAAAAATATAATCTACAGGTGAATATGTACAGTACAATTCCATTTACGTAAGCCTAAAAGCACACAAGGGTAGAAGCGCGGCATGTAATACAGCCCACCTTCTATTTGCCAAGCAATGAGCCCTGGTTTCGGGTTGTATCCAACCCAAAGGAGGGGAGCTTTTGTCTAATTTGCACAAAGGCTCTGAATGGGATAGCTATGACTTTGGGTAGATGTAAAGGTATTCGCAGTGTTCTCATTCTTACATTTGGTGATGGGTTCACGGTTTTTAATTTTATAATTCTGCCACCCCAGACCTATCATCCATAATTTGCTTCCCTAGAGTCATTAGTGATTAATAATTGCTTGTATATCCTTCCAAAGATGTTCAATGCTTTGCAAGCATAGATATATATTTATTCTTTTGTATAAAACACAATGGAAGCATTCTATAATATTATATTGGATCTTTTTTGCTACTTAACTATGTATCTTAGAATTGTTCTATTGTCACAAATATAGAAATGCCCCATTTTTAAAGTGACTGCTCAGAATTCCATTTTATGTTATGTGTCGTAATCTATTTAACCAGTCCTCTCTTAACGAGACATTTCAGTTGTTTCCCATCTTTTGCTTTTATGAATAATGCTGCAGTGAGCATTCCTTTATAGGCATTTTTGCCCACGTGTAGTTATGCGCGTAGGATAAATTCCTAGGCATGTAATCGCTGGGCCAAACGGAATGTATTTTGACACATATTGCCAGACTATTCTTAAATGCCATTATACCAATTTATACCCCGGTTAATACAGGGAGTGCTCATTTTGTTCCACAGAAATATCATACTTTTTGATTATTGTTAATTTGGTAAGTTAAAAGGAATTTTCTATCATTGTATTAATTTTCTATTAAGAAAAGAAGATCAAAAAGTTATCTTAAAAATCTTCAGGGATTCGCCTTTCCTCAGCTGCCGCCAAGGTGCTGGGTCCTTCCGAGGAAGCTAAGGCTGCGTTGGGGTGAGGCCCTCACTTCGTCCGGCGACTAGCACCGCGCCCGGCAGCGCCAGCCTGGTACTCGCCCGCGCCATGGCCTCCGTCTCCGAGCTCGCCTGCATTGACTGGGCACTCATTCTGCACGACGATGCAGTGACTGTCACGGAGGATAACATCAATGCCCTTATAAAAGCAGCTGGTGTAAATGTTGAACCTTTCTGGCCTGGCTTGTTTGCAAAGGCCCTGGCCAATGTCAACATCGGGGGCCTCATCTGCAATGTAGGGGCTGGCGGACCTGCTCCAGCAGCTGGTGCTGCAGCAGCAGGAGGTCCTGCCCCCTCCACTGCTGCTGCCCCAGCTGAGGAGAAGAAAGTGGAAGCAAAGAAAGAAGAATCTGAAGAGTCTGATGATGACATGGGCTTTGGTCTTTTTGACTAAATCTCTTCTGTAACATGTTCAATAAAAAGTTTGAACTCTTAAAAAAAAATCTTCAGGGGTTCAAAGGAAGAGGACCTATCTGTTGGGAATAAGGAAATTCTCAGAGGAGGTAGCCCTTAAGCAGGCAGCGGAGTAGTAAGTAGAACTAGGCCAACTGAGATGGAAGCAGGGAGCAAGCGTTTAAGGCAGAGAGTGTGGCATGAGCGAGGGCGCAGAGGGTGCAAAATTGCTTTACAAGTAACTTAGTTTGTCTAAAGCAGAGCAAGCACATCCTGCGCAGCGAGGGAACTATACCCAATCGTTTAAGCAGGGGCTCCAGCCCCGGCTACCCATTACAACCACTAGGGAGCTTTAAAAACTATATTGATCCAAGTCCCTCCTCAGACCAATTAAATTAGAGTCTCCAGTGGGAGCTTTCTCCCCAGGGGATATTATTCTGTATCCAGGCTTGAGAATCACTGCATTAAGGACAAATGAACAGGGGAGTGACAAGCCCAAAAGTCAGCTTACAGAAGATTTATGGTCTCCTAGATCACATGTTGTTTACTTCTCTTATTTAAAAGTTTGAAATATGAAAAAAGGTTGTTAATTACTTAGTTCAAAATTGAATTTAGAGACCAGCCTGAGCAAGAGCGAGACCCCGTCTCTACTAAAAATAGAAAGAAATTAATTGGACAACTAAAAATATATAGAAAAAATTAGCCGGGCATGGTGGCGCATGCCTGTAGTCCCAGCTACTCGGGAGGCTGAGACAGGAGGATCGCTTGAGCCCAGGAGTTTGAGGTTGCTGTGAGCTAGGCTGACGCCATGGCACTCTAGCCTGGGCAACACAGTGAGACTCTGTCTCAAAAAAAAAAAAAAAAAAAAATTGAATTTAGGTAAATTTCCACTGATGTTTAAAATGATAACAAATATTCTATGTCTCAAAATAATTTTCTTTTACTTTTAAGGGATAAGATCATTCACCAAGTGGGTATAATTCACAGTGAAAACTGCTTACACATCAGTGATCTGAGATAGAGGCAGTCAGAATTCCCCTAAAATGAGATGGTACTGGGAACTCGGTGAAGCATCGCCCTGACACTAGATGGAGCCATGGATTGTGATTTGGTGCAAAACTGACACTTCAAAGCAATATAGGTAGAATTTGAAGAGGGGAAGAGACTCAGAAAATATGTATTCTAATCTCTCATTTAGATTTTTAATTTCTTTTTCGTGTATGCAAAATTGCCTACTTTTCAAATGAGTTGTTTATTCAAATAGTTCTAAATCTACAAAGTGAAAAGGCTTTGCAGTCTGTGCAGTGGATATTCTCTGTACACCTTCCAGATCGACTCTCCACCCTGCCTTGGCTCCAAGAAGCTCACCTCTAAGGATGCACCGACAATGTCCTCTGCCCTTGGGTTTCTAGCAGGTTTGCCCACCAGGTGGCACTGGTAAGAGATCCAAGGGCAGAAAGAGAATGAGGCCAGGGTATTTATTTCCCCAGCTCCTTCCCTGATGGGCTGTGGGTCAGCAGTGGCTAGGTTCATCTAGCAAAGGCTATGCCTTCTGTCCAGTAGCCCCTTCTATACCTACAGCTTTCTCTGGGTTCAGGTAACTACTTACCCCTTATTCCTTAGGGCCTAGGTATGGGTATGATTCCACTCTGTAGCTTGCCCAGCTGTCAGTGCCACTATCCTTTGTTGGGTGTCTTTGCCCTGCCCACATTTTTGTAAATAATTGTCATTAAACTCTCCTCAACTCTGCCATTTGATTGTACATGTGTTTCTTGCTTGGATCCTAACTGGTACAGTCTCCATCCTCACTTCTGTTCCATACCCACCCAGTTCTCCTTCTGAAGCAATCAATTCTAGAGGTTTCCTATATTTAGGCACATATGAGCACAAAGGAATATATGTATTCCTCTTATCCTTATTTAATCAAATTATAGCTTATTATATGCCTAGTTCTGCACTGTGGTTTTATTTTTTCCATATAACAATATATCCTATAGACCACTTTATAGCAGTATATAGGGATCTTCCTTATTCCTTTTTAAAGCTGCATTACATTACATTCTATTTTATAATTGTATTAATACAGTTGTTTTTTAGCCAGCCTCCTTTCAGTAGATATTTAGGTTGTTTCTAGTCATTTGCTATTACACACATTGCTATAAGGAATAACCTTATATGTAGGTCATTTCTCCTTATTTTATGAGGAAAATGAAACAGAAAGAGATTAAGTAGATTGTGTAAGGTTAATTCTTGGCAGAGCCCTGTCATCATAGTCATCAATTAGTAGGCTGCGACTGGAGTGACCTGCGCAGTCATCAATTGTGAGACTGGAGTGATCTGAATCTTGCTGAGGGGCCCCCACAAAATTTACTGCACATTCCCACTCTTCTCAAATTTCCATCCCGATGCATTCATTCCCAGCTTAATGGTTGCAATGGTGACTCTAGAGCCACAAAGCTAAGTTGTATTTCCCACTCCATTACTTATTAGCTGTGTGATCTTGAGTAAGTCATAGCCTCTCAGTGCCTCAGTTGCCTCATCCATAAAATGGTTGCTACCTTATGGTGTTTCTGAGAGCATGAAATGCTCTCGAAACAGTGCCCGGCATGTATTAAGGACCTTATAAGCACTGGCTCTTAATAGTAGTGTTATTGTCATTTCTTTGGGTTGAGGCTGTGCTCCTCTGTTAGCATTCAAACACAACATGGGAGAGCTAACTGTCTCATCAATAGTTTACTTCTTATGTAAGTAAGATTATCAGATTATTTCTTTATTTATTTCAAAATATTAAGGGGGTACAGATGTTTTAGGTTGCATGGATTGCTTTTGTAATGCTTGAGTCCCAGTTATAGTTGTGCCCATCACCCAAATAGTGTTCATTGTTCTTGTCAGGTAGGTTTTTGTCCCTCCCCTCCTCCCCCTGCCGCCTGGTTGATTTGCACTGAGTTTCATTTCCCTCTGTACACATGTATACTTATTGGTCAGTTCCAATTTAATAGTGAGTACTTGTGTTGTTTGTTTTTCCACTCTTGAGATACTTCACTTGGGATAATGGTCTCCAGTTCCATCCAGATTGTTGCTAAAGGTATTAATTCATCTTTTTTTTTAATGGCTGAGTGTACTCCATGGTATACATATACCATATTTTATTAATCCACTCATGTATTGATGGGCAATTGGGTTGTTTCCACATCTTTGCAATTGTGAGTTGTGCTGCAATAAACATTCAAGTGCAGCTGTCTTTTTGTTGAAAAGTCTTCTTTTCCTTTGGGTAGATACCCAATAGTGGGATTGCTGGATCAAATGGTAGGTCTACTTTTAGTTCTTTGAGGAATCTCCATACTGTTTTCTATAGGGGTTGTACTAATTTGCAATCCCACCAACAGATATAAGTGTTCCTTTCTCTCTGCATCCATGCCAGCATCTATTGTTTTTGGACTTTTTAATAAGAGCCATTATGTTAGGGTAAGATGATATCTCGTTGTGGTTTTAATTTGCATTTCCCTGATAATTAGTGATGTTGAACATTTTTTCATATGTTTATTGGCCATTTGTCTTAAGCAAAAAGAACAAATTTGGAAGCATAACATTATCAGACTTCAAACTATACTAAAAGGCTATAGTAACCAAAACAGCATAGTATTGGTACAAAAATAGAGACATAAACCAATGGAACAGAACAAAGAACCCAGATATAAAACCGTCTACCTACAACTATTTGATCTTTGACAAAACAGACAACAACATACACTGGGGAAAAAAAGACCTATTCAATAAATGGTGCTGGGAAAATTGGATAGCCACATTCAGAAGAATGAAACAGGACCCCTACCACTCACAAAGATTAATTAAAGATGGATAAAAGACTTAAATCTAAGGCATGAAACCATAAGAATTCTAGAGGAAAATGTAGGAAAAACTCTTCTAGATATCAGCCTAGGCAAAGAATTTATGACTAAGACCCCAGTGGCAATCATGGCAACAACAAAAACAAAAACAAAAAAATTAAAAAAAAACAACAATAAAAATGCAATTCATGATAAAAAAAGAATTAAAAAAACTAATAAATGGAATTTGGTTAAACTAAAAACCTGCACAGCTAAGAAAACAATCAACAGAGCAAATGAACAACCTATAGAATGGGAGACAATATTTACATGCTATACATCTGATAAAGAGCTAATATCCAGAATTTACAAAGAACTCAAGCAAATCAGCAAGAAAAAAACAAACAACCATATTAAAAAATGGGCAAAAGACACGAACAGAAGCTTCTCCACAGATAACTTCTTGAGACCAAATTAGGTCAGAAAATTAGGGAACTAGACACTTGAAATGAGTCCTAACTGAAGAGGGGGTTTCTAAAGATAACTTTACCCACTTCACAATTTTATTTTGATTTTCTTGTTCACATGCACTTAAAACAGTCAGACGTACAAATCCATCTGTCTGCTGGACACCCTCCCCAGATGTCTTACAGTTCCCAAACTGGACTCACTGTCCACTATCATCTGCCACAAAACCAAACCCTGTCTTCCTCTCACAGGTCCACATCACATTCAAGTGGATCAAAATGTGGTATATGTATACCATGGAATACTACTCAGCCACAAAAAACAATGATGAGCTAACACCTCTTGTATTATCCTGGATGGAGCTGGAGCCCATTCTACTAACTGATTTATCACAAGAATGGAAAAACAAGCACCACATGTACTTGCCATCAAATTGGTACTAACCGATGAACACTAAGATGCTCACATGGTAGTCTTATTCACTGGGTGCCAATCAGGTGGGAGAGGAGTGGTGGGGGTGGGTAAACTCACAACTAATGGATGCAGAGTGCACTGTATGGGGGAAGGGCATACTTGTAGCCCTGGCTTAGGTGAGGCAAAGGCATTATATGTAACCAAAATGTTTGTACCCCTATAATATTCTGAAATTAAAACAAAACAAAACAAAATAAGACAAATAATATATGCACCAAGGTGTTCATTACACTGTTACTGTTAATAATAAAATGTGGACAA